CAAGGAGCCTCGTTCACTGGGTACGCTGTATTCCAATCAGTCATAGGCAGAAGACGGACAACAATTAACTTGTTAAGAAAGAGGCTCTCAGATACAACAACAACAGCAGAACTCCACAGGAACTAGGATGGAGGGACCCCTCCAGTCATAGATGATCCTATTTTAACTTCAAAACAAGTGATGGCAATGACAGAATCAAATAAATATTCAACTAAATAAAATAAAAATTCATGAGTCATATACTGATGCAACTGAATAAATGTTCTTCCTTAGAGTACAATGTAACTACTACTGTAAAAGAAATAATGGAGTCTAGAAAATCACTGCTTGGCCACCATGAAAGTAATAATTGATTCCTGGGAGAATTAACAATGGATTCTAAAACTAGTACGTAAGAGATTTATAAGAAACAGTATTATAACATAGTCTCAAAGTCTCTTCCCAAAAGATACATATCTATTTGTTGTTGCTGTTATGTGCCGTGGAGTTGATTCTGACTCATAGCGACCCTGTATAGGGTTTCCGAGGAGCAGCTGGTGAGCTTGAACTGCCGAAAAACCACTTTGCAGTCTGGGGCATTAACCCACAGAGCCACACCAGGAGGCCACATATCAATTACAAAGGGAGAGATAGTAACTTCACAGAAGCCCTGCTAAACTCCACCTTAACCAAATGGTCCTGGTTCTGAAAGCAATCATGCTTACCTACTTCTGACTAAAATACACTGAGCTAGACATAGCATCAGATCTGAGGTATTTTTGCCAAAAGTGTTGAACCTGAATTTAAATACAATGAGGAAACACCAGCCAAACCCAAACTAAGGGACACTTTACAACATAAGTGGCCGGGGCTCTTCAAAAATGTCAATGTCACAAAAGACTCAGACTGAGAAACTTCCAAATCAAAGGAGACTCGAGAGAGACATGGTGCGACGCTGTGGGTTCATGTGCTGCACTGCAAAGTTGGTTTTAACTGTGAAGTTGGAAGTTCAAGTGCACCGGCCACTCCTTGGAGACCCTATACAGGGTCACTACGGGTTGGAACCGACTCGATGGCACTCAACACCACCAAAGAGAGAAGCGTGACACTTCACTGCAACCTGTGCTCCTGAACTGGATTCTACATCAAAGTTTTATTTATTTATTTTTTAATAAAAGACATTATTGGAATACTTAGCAAATTGAATAAGGTCTGCTAATTAGATAACAATATTATATCAATGTTAATCTTGTGATTTTTGTAGCTGTACTGAGGTAACATATGAGGATGTCCTTGATTTTAGGAAACACACAAGGAAGTACTTACGAATAAAGAGGAGGGAAACAAGAGACTTATAAGGTGAACAGTAATACCCAGGAAAACATGTTCCTCAGTTTAGTCAACCATGTTGTGTCGCTATTGTTGTTAAGTGCTGTCGAGGTGGTTCCAACTCACAGCTACCCTGTAATAGGGTTTCTGACCAGACTGAACATACGAGACTGCAAGGGCAGGATGTGCCCAAAAACAAAACTCAGAAAAAAAAGAGGGGCAGGAAGGAAGAGTGAATGGAAACCCAGGGAGGAGCAGGCAGAGTGCTGATACTCTACAGGGATCGTTGTATGTGACGAACGGTACAGACGAATTCAACATTGTTGAATGGGACACTCACATGCTCTGTAAACTTCCACCCAAGCTACAATAAAGTGTTCAAAACAAAAAAGTGTTCAAAATTTTTTTTTAAAAAAGGAGAGGGGAATAAAGTCTGCAACCTATTCTCAAATAGTTTAGGAAAGAAACCAACATGTCTATACAAAGAGAAACATGATAAAATAATTGTGGAAAATACTGACTCAGGAATCACGGGGGAGGGCATATGAGTACTCTATTGTTTTTGCAAATTTTTTGTAATTCTGAGATCATTTAAAATAATTATTATTTTTTAAAACCTGTCTGAAGTAACCAACGGTAAAATGTTACGTTATCAGATCCTGGTGGTTGGTTGGTGTTGTTAAGTGCTGTCGAGTCGATGTGTATAATATCCAGTATTTTTCTCTACAGAGTAAATAGTTTCTAATCAAAAACTTAAAAATAGGAATTAAACAAAAACAAACAACTTATTAAGAGAAAGCCAAACAAAACAAAGAGTGCTGGCCCTGAGCTGAGTGAGTTTGGTACCCCGCCCATGTTGTCCCCAGAGCGTGACTGGGCAGGTTCCTGCACTCGCCCAGCTTCCTCAGCGCCTCCCTCCCGGAGGACTTGTAAGGATTCAGTGTGCTGGGCAGTGATGCCCTCAACCAAGAAAACCAGAGCAAACTTTCCAGCATGAGAATGAGTTGTAGTGTCTGCTTCCTGCCTAGAGAACCTCTGTAAAAACGCTGTAAGAACACAGAAGAAAAGCCCAGTTGCTCCCCCACACACTTCCATGCCAATAAGTCACTTAAAAAAAAAGTAAAAACCTCAGGTTTTGCACAAACATCTGTACTACCTCCTACCACCTAGCCTGCTAGATTGGTTTAAAGTTGGAGCCTTTAGAAGTTCTCATTAGGAATGATTCTAAAAAATAAGCAGGCATAAAAATTGCAAGGCTTTATGTAATTTACTGTGCAAGCCAAGCCACTTTGAATACATTGGTTACAAACTTCAAAAAATTCAAGCAATTCTCTCTCCTGTCATTGAAAATAAGCAGTTCTACCGAGTACCTGGCAAACGTTGGCCAGGAAGCATCCAAGTCATAACCCCTCGATGCTAGGTCAAAGTGGACCTCGGTCAGCTCGTAGAGTTGGCCCACAATGTCTGAGCTCAACTTTGGCTTCAGAAATGGGCTTCTTTCATAGTACCAGTCTCTGCAGAGAAACATAAAAATGTGAGTCACATGAGAAATGAAGAAAAGGACAGAATGAAAAGAAGGACAGAGCAAAAACTGTTCCTCAGTGTGGCTCTGCCTCATCCTATTCAACTCATTTTGCTAAATTAATGAGACACACATACACATGCCCCACTTTTAAACACTAGGAACACATAACTCTCAAATAAACGTGTTTGTCTTCAAAGAAGTTATTGTAATGACCTAGACGTCTATTCATTTATTGCTTATATCTATTTCCCCAAAAAGGATGTGAGACACCTTAAATCTCACGTAATCAAGAAAGAACAGTCATCGGGGAAGTTCATCTTTTTTGAAGCATAACATCACCCTCTATTCCTCCTCCAGAACTCAACATGGGGCACTGAACACATAGCTGATTTCTGTCTAGACGCCAACGCAGCAGCCAAGGTACAAAATTACTCACCAGAAATGTTATTTGAACTTAGAGGTGGTGGCTATTTCATTTCATGTGAAGCAACAAGAACCACAACAGATTAACACTGATACATTTAACAATCTACTTAGTTATCATTTGTGAACTATACAACACAGTAAAAGTTAAGATGTTTTGACTGTCTTCACCAACATCTGAAACAAACTACCCTTACAACGAAATGAGCACATGTTCTCAACTCACAAGGCTTCACACAGCCTGCCATATGCACAGTATATACACCTTTATGCAAACACTACCTGGAAAGGGGCAGCAGAGCTGGTAAATGGTGTTGAGTTTCACAGATCAGTTCCTGATTTGCAGCTCCTAATAGGATCTTTCTTCTCCCAATTACACATTCAGTTCCTGCTTCCTTCCTATGCCCCCCCTCAACTAGCAGCACAAAGGCTGACCCCCCAGACAACGTGGGCTCCACAGCGGCTCCCAATGCTGGGTATCCACTAGTGTCCCAGGAGCCCAGATGCTGAGCCAGTATCTCAGGCTTAGTGATGGTAAAAGTCCTTCTGTGGAGAGGCCAAGGCAGTAGCCCACGGGCCTTCTCGGCTGACCTGTGGCACCAACACCAAGGCCATTCCGTCCCCCAGGGGAAGGTGCTGCCTCAGCAGTGAGGAGGCCTGGATTCGAGCTCCGGTTTCACCACATAAGATCTGTAGGGCCCAGGGAAGGGCATTTGGTCTCTAAGCCTCGTTTTTCTCAGCTGGAGAAGATCAGTGCTGTCTGCCTCCCAGGTGTGTCAGGGACTGTGTAGAGAAGAGAATCATGCCTACCTGGAGGGGCTCTGCACACGTCTAGGTGTAGCACAAACAGCCAGTGCTGCTTCGGCAGCTACGACTACTTAGGAGGGGGCTTCAGTTCACGTCTGTCACATAGTTACCTGGTGACTTTGGTGTTCATGAAGCACTGCTGTAAGGTGTCTGCCAGCCTCTGGTGCACCAAGGAGTAGCGAATAAATGCTCTTCCTTTCCCCAGAGACGTCCGGAACTGGAAAAGCAGATTGCATGAAGATGAAGAAGGGCGAATCTAACTCCAGGTATTCCTGAGTGCTTCGGTGTACATCCAAAACAAACAAACCAACAAACAAAAACACCAGGGGGAATGGAGGCAAATGCTGTTGAATGATGATGCATGGAGGGGATTGTGATCATTGCAATGAAACAAAATACGATAGGAGGAATGTAAAGCCAATGTTCTTCCATGTAAAGTATCACTCAATTCACAATAAAATCTTTAAAAAAAAATACTGCCTTGTTGGCTTAAAATTTTTAAAGAGAACAAAACAAAAAACAGACCCACCGTAGAAAACGCCACCTAATCCTGGGCTCTACATAGAGCTGAGTCAGGCCTGCACCCTCCCCACCCCTTCAGATGTTGCCTAGGTCATGCAAATGGTTTAACCTTGACAACTAAACCTAAAGGTTGGAAGTCTTAGCCCACCCCAGCAGCACCACCGAAGCTAACCCCGATGACCTGTTTCAATTTCATTCAAGCAAACTCCATCAGACAGCTCCACTCGAGTCAGAATCAACTCGAAAGCATCGGGCTCTAAGCAGCAGGGGAGGGAAAAGCACTGGTTTAACCACAGATAGGTCCTAATACTCCACAGTACTACGATGCCAATCAATGCACTGGACGGAGACAGGCAACTGATAATCATATTGATGATGGTGGTAAAATCTTGGTACACCTAGTGTCTGTTAGCTCAGAGCGACCTTCTCGCTGCTGACTCAAAGAAATAATAGCACAAGATGAAACAGTTTTAAAAAATAAAAAAGGTGTGAAACCTCATGAACTAGAGAAGCTGTAATACTTTATCTCCAGGTAGATTTGTGGGTTTGAGGTGGTGAGGGCTCCCGGAAACTAAGGAGGGCATCAGCTTTATGAAAACAACCAGGGCACAGCTGAACATCATTCATCCCCACAGGCGTCCAGGGGAGAGTCTCGATGGCATACTTTCCCAACCAGGGAAGGGAGAACAAAGCGTGTGGTAGTTACAACCAGGGTCATCAGGCTGCTAAGAGATGAAGGCAGAGCTTGTCCTTATTAGCAAGCTGGCCCTCATTACCGCATTTAGAACATTTATTAAAACTTTTTTTAACAGCAACCATTTGAGGCTGTATCTTAAAATCAGGCCTACTAAAGGAATTGATTGTATGTAAAGGTGCCCTGGTGGCACAATGGGTTAAGTGTTGGACTGCTAACCAAAAAGTTGGTGGTTTGAACCCACAGTAGCTCAGTGGGAGACAGATGTGGCAGTCTGCTTCCATAAAGGTTTACAGGCTTGGAAACCCTCCGGGACCGGTCTACCCTGCCCTATAGCATCGCTGTAAGCTGAATCGACCCAATGGCAGTGGGTTTTTTTTTTAAAGGGAGATTTTTATTTTTTAAAATATCTTTTGGGGAAGGAACCAACAGATCCTTTTTACTGCAAACAAAACACCTGCCTGGCATTTTACTGCACTTCTTTATTTCTGAGATCATGGCTCTGCTTTCATTATCTAAGAACTCTGGTAGCATAGTGGATGACGAGCTGGGCCGCTCCCTGCAAGGTCAGGAGTTTGAATCTGCCATCCCCTCCACAGGAGAAAGGGGAAGTTTTCTGCTCCCATAGAGACTTACAGCCATGGAAACCCTATCCAAGGTCGCTATGAGTCAGAACCTACTCCACGGCACACAACCACTACCACCAACACGATACACAGCATATTGAGAAGTGATACAACAGCACCTAAGGAGAGGAAGTCTGCAGATTATATACGAGCTGATGCTGCTTTACACGTGACCACTGTGCAGCAGCCCCGACTAAGCTGCACCAGGTCTGTTGCCTGGTGAGAGTTCACGATGAGCTCATTCTCAACCTCTGGAAATGGCTTACTGGAGCCCTGAAGTATTTTAGCTTCCTACCCTTTAACTTTAGGAGCTCTGGTAGCGTAGTGGTTACGAATCAGGCTGCGAAACTTAAGGTCAGCGGTTCGAAACTACCAGCCGCTCTACGGGAGAAAGATGAGGCTTTCTACTCCCGTAAAGATTTACACCCTCAGAAACCCTGTACAGGGTCGCTATGGGTCGGAACCAACTCGACGGCACTTAACAACAACAACAACAACCCTTTAACTTTAAGGAGCTCTGGTAGCATAGTGGTTACAAGTCGGACTGCTGACCTCAAGGGCAGCAGTTCGAAACTACCAGCCATTCTGTGGGAGAAATATAAGACTTTCTGCTCCCATATAGATTTATAACCTCAGAAACTCATACAGGGTCGCTATGAGTTGGAACCGACCCCACAGCACACTACCACCACCCATTCACTTTGACCCTTGCTTATTAACTCAAGTGTCCAGCTTCCTGTTCCCCACTAGCAATGCTCTGAGTCACTTTACTCAGTGGACCTCAGAGAGCTGGACCCTATGGGAAGCAGAGCCTATGCCAGTTGCCCAACAAGCAATGTCAGTGGAAAGAGGGAACATTTTTGTTTCTAGAAAGTCCATTTCCCTGGCCTCACATTGTCTAAAGGTCTTAGTGCATTATGAGAAAAGAACAGGACACTGATAAAAAAGTCGATGTGAGTTAGTAAATATTTTGTAACCCTGAGGAATGATTTAAAACTAAACTTATTTCCATCATTCAGTTGTCCTAAGTCATAGAGTCAAAGGCCTCAGTTGCTCTGAAGGAGTTGCTGAGGAGTAGCAAAGACAACTCCTTCCAGATGCAGGGAGGGAGTGACAATGTGAATGTCCTCCAGATTTATGGTGCATTAAAACAACACTCAACACATCGTGAATCCTAGTGTCCCACCAGGCAAGAACTCACAAGCTTGATGGAAGCTGCAGAACCAACTCTTCATAGCCAGAAGCTCCCTCATTTTCTTAGCTAAATATCAGCTGCGGCAGCTGATAGAACATGTCCAGTTCTTGATGTCAATTTACCCAACACTGTCAAACTCTATAAGAAGAAACACATTCGGCTCCCACTGGCTCTTCGCAAAGCTCCTGATCTAGGTAGGCAGGAAGCATGCCTGTTGGCTTTAAAGTGACTCCCAGCTGCATTCGGCTGGGGAGGAGAGTGAAGGATTCGTGGATGCAGGGAGAGGAAGGAGAGTCAGACAAAGAGAGTGGGAGGGGGAGAGAGAGTGCATGTATGTGACTGTATATGTGTGAGTCTGCATGTCTACAGGCCCCTCCCCTTTTATTGTTCGGGAGTTCTGCAGGGCTGTCTTCACGGGGCTCAGAACTGAAGGCACATCAACAATTTGGCACTTGAAATTCCACATTACTCCCTTTACTTGAATCAAAGCCTCCTGGTCAAACTATAGGGAAAACACTCCTCGCAAACTCTAAGGATTTTAACTAAGAAAGTAGACTTTTAAGGAAAAGAAGAGGTGTCCTGAGTGGTACACCTGCAGGAGGCATCATGAACAGAGATTACCATGTGAAGAGCGCTCAATTTAAGCAGCATATGGGTCATGGTGTGTAATGTACAGATGCAGGACTAAGCTATTTCTTTGCTTGGTAACGACTCGCCAAGGCCACTTCTCCCTGTACTTGACTCAGAGCAACAGTGGACACTAGGACTATCTGGACTGGATATCTTTACTTCACCACCAGCTGTATATCCCTGCTTCACTTTGTAGTCTGCAGCAAAGGCCTCTGCAGATGCTCAAGGCAGGAGAGCTGTGTGGTCCTTGGTGGCTTTGCACAGCTTACCTCGGAAATCGACTTGACAAACCGGATCCCATCATTGGCTCCTTTCACTTTGGCTAGGCAGTCACAGAAGTAATCCCAGTAGTCCTTCTTGGTGCCCAGGAGGGTGGCTTTCTCCTTCTGATCAAACTGGGGAAGGAACAGAATCCAACAGCATATTAAAAGTGTCCTACACCATGACCAAGTGGGACTTGTTCCAGGAATGAAGGGATGGTTCAACACTAGAAAATCAATCAACTCTGTACAATATGCATGGGACCAAGAAGCAAAAGGTAAGCAGTTCAAGTTCACCAGCTGTCCCATGGGAGAAAGTCAGCTCCTGCAAAGATGTGGAGCCTCAGAAACCCTAGACAGGGTAACTATGAGTTGGAACTGGTTCGATGGCAGTTAACAACAACAACAAATACATCACATCTATAGAACCAAGGAAAAGAACCACACGATCATCTCTATGGATGCAGAAAAAAATATTTGATAAAACTCAGATGCTTTTTATTGAGAAAAACCCTGAAGAAGACTGGAATAGACGGGAAATTCCTCAATGTGATTCAGAGCATATATGAAAAGACAACATCCAACATTATACTCAATGGACAAAGACTGTGAGCTTTCCCTTGAAGTCAGGAACACGATAAGGGTTGTTATCTTGTTCCTCTTCTCTCACTACTTCTATTCAGTATTGGATTAGAAATTCTAGCCAGAACAATAACGCAAGAAAAGAAATAAAAGACATCCAGATCATAAAAGAAGTAAAACTACCTCTATTTATGGATTTTATGATCCTATATTTAGAAAGTCCCCAATCTACAAGAAATCTTCTAAAGTTAATAAAGCAATTTAGCAAAATTGCAGGGTACAAGGTCAACAAACAAAAATCAGTTGAGTTTCTATATAGTAGTAATGAGAAATATGAACCAAATTAGGGAAACAAATCCATTTAAGACAGCACATAAAAGGATAAAATAACTAGGAATAAATTTAAGCAGGCGCGGGAAGGACTTATACAGTGAAAACTATAGAACACTGCTGAAAGAGATTAAAGAAGACCTGAATAAATGGAAAGAAGTTCCATGTTCCTGGATTAGATGACTTGATATTACCAAAATGTCAATATTATAAAAAGCAAGCTGTAGATTCAATGCAATCCCAGTCAAAATTCCAACAACCTTCTTTATAGGGTAGAAAAATAAATCTCAATTTTATATGAATTGGAAAGAGGTCCCAGATAGCTTTAAAAAATAAGTGTTGAAAGAGAAGGAAAAAGCAGGAGTGCGCATAAGTTGAGTTGGAACCAACTCAACAGCACTTAACAACAACAAACAACTATAGCAATTAAAACAAGCTGGGAGTGGCATAACAATAGATCTATAGACCAATGGAATATGATTGAGAGTCCAGACATAAACATACACATTGATGGTCAAATAATTGTTGACAAGGGTGCTAAAGTCCATATGATGGGGAAAGAAGAATCTCTTTTATAAATGGGGCTGGGAAAATTGCATTTCCACATGCAGAAAAATGAAACAGGATCCATGCTTCACATCACATATAAAACAAACCTAAAATGGATTAAGTACCTAAATGTGCAAACTACAATCATAAAAGTTTTAGAAGAACAAGCAGGGGCAATGCTGTCAGGCCTAGATTTCAACAATGGATTATCTGATAAAATAACAAGAGTACAAAGAGCAACAGACAAAATAAATAAAAATTTTTAAATTCTGTTCATTAGAAGACTACTAAAACAGTGAATGACAGGCAACTGACTGGGAGAATTCTCTTTGGAAACGATAGCATTAATAACCAAACTATATGACGGGACTGGTAAAAGTTTATGGAAAAACTTCATTATCTTTTTTTTTAACTTTGTGGTTCATGAGGTTTACAGAGCAGAGCATCAGTGTGGCACTCCACAATTCACACACATTTTGCTTCACTTCACTGATCGCAATCTCCTCAATATATCATCACTTATCCCACTTCCTCCCTGTGTTTCCTGTTTCCATTTCTCCTTCTTTCCTAACACTTGAACTTTGTCCTTGGCTCACTGCTTTTGACCTCAAATGGCTGATTCCTCTACAGTGGGTGGTATGTACACTGTGAGCGGACCACAGTACCTCACTGGCAGTATTGTTCCCTCTATAGGCTTCTCTACTGTTTGGCTATGAAAATGGAGCCCTGAAGGGTGACTAAGACTCATAGCCTTAGGGGCTCCACCAGTCTCTAAACAACCAGTAAGTCTGGTCTTTTTAATTTCATCATTTTTGGGTTTTGTTTTTTTTTAATCAAACATTTTTATGGTGGAGAAGACTAAGACAGGCTTAAACAAGTTTAACAACTATGATATAACACTCTTCCTATCAAAGCTCTGAAAAAGAGGATCAGATTTCACACCTCAGGTTAAATAGAAAAGTCCAAGTACAAAATTAAAAGCAGTATTTAGAAAAACAGCTATGTAATTTTATAAAAGAAATTTTGTTTCTTTCAAGTATTACTGAGCTATATTTGAAGTATATCCTCATCTTTTAATTCCATTTTTCAGCAAACTTTTTGAAACCCCTTGCATATAAAACATTCACAACTTAACAAAAAGACAAATAACCCAATCATAAAATGGACAAGTGATGTGAATAGACATTTCACCAAAGAGGACATTCAGATGGCTACCAAACACATGAAAAGGTGATCATTGTCATTAGCCCCCAGATACCCAAATCAAAACCACAAAGAAATGTCATTTCACTTCCACCGCCAACAAAAAGGAGTCCTGGTGTGGCGCTGTGGGTTAACGAGTTAGACTGCAAAATCTGAACCACAGTGTCAGCAGTTCAAGCTCATGAGTTGCTCCTTGGAAACCTTATACTGGATCACTGGTTGCTCCTCGGAAATCTTATACTGGAAACGACACGACGGCACTTAACAACAACATTACAACTACAAAAAAACAGAAAATAAAAATGCTGTGTTGGCAATAATGTGGGGAAACTTGGATTCTTATCCATTCCTGGTGAGTAAACAAAATGGTAATACGCCATTGTGAAAACCAGTGTGGCGTGTGGGGGGGGAAGATAAGACTTTTCATCTTGTCTAGATGGGTTTGGTTAAAAGAGATAGGGGTAAGATTCTTATGATTCAATAGTGAGTGACTGTTATCATGACTAATTGCGACTGTCACATTGTAAAGGTAGTTTTGTAACAAAAATGGGGGAGTAATCTTACAGTCCAGAAACTCTAGGACCATCAAGGGAGAAGAGCACAAGCAGAGTGCGAGACCTTATCCAGAGAAGCAGCGATACCAGATTGGAGGCAGAGATGGGGACATGGAGAGAGGGAGCAGCTGAGGACTCTAGATTCATGGAAAGAGAGGGACTGAGTGCTGGCAGTCAGGTGGCAGCTTGCAGAATGTGCCTTTTGGTTGTTTTAATTATTATATATGCCTGAGTGTTAAAAAAAAAGAAGAGCTAAAGTGAATAGAGAGAAATACTTGTAAGTGATGGTACACAGAGGGGATTATAATCATTGTAATGAAACAAGGTGTATGATTTATTGAATATAAAACTGATGATCTGCCCTGCAACCTTTAAAACAAACAAACAAATGTGGCAATTTATCATTAAACTAAAGTTGACTCAGCAATTCTACTCTGAGGTATACATCCAAAAGACTTGAAGACAGAGACTCAAAAGGAGACCGGTTCACACTGTTCACCGCAGCACTATTCACAAGATGGAATAAAGATGGAAGCCACCTATGTGCTCATCAGTAGATGAATGGATAACCAACATGTGGCACATAGATACAATGGAATACTATTCAGCCAGTAGAAGAAATGAAGTCTTGATACATGCTACAGTATGAAGGGAGCCTGGAAACAGTTTTTCACTGAGCAAATTAAGTCAATCACAAAAGGGCAAATATTTTTTACTTCACTTGCATACAAAGCTAAGAAAAGGCAAATGTCTAGAGATCAAAGTTTATTAGTGGTTACCAAGGGCTGTAGGGAGATATTAATAGTGATGGAAAAATTGCATTGACCAAAGGTATGATTGCACAGCTGATTATTGTGATTATTATCAACAAGTTGTACACCTGTCAAACGTCGAATTGGAAAACGTTGTGTGATGGATGTACTTACAACAACAATAGCAACAGCAGCAGCAATAGCTGCTAAGACTGCTAATGTACAACCAAACACCCCATGGGATTTGGAGGGGTAGGCTCACGGTTTCATGAGTTAGCTCAGTTCTTTATCCTACGAATACGCTTAGTGCTTCTGTTCCACCTTCTAGGTCATTATATAGTGTCTGATGTCTTAGAAGCATGCATGCAGTCATTCAAGGCACTATAATTAGACTCTCTTCACCTGGACCAACAGAGAAAGAAGGAGAGTCAGGAATTGGAGCAGGATGTGGAATGTGTGGCTAATTGCCTTCAAGAACAACTGTCTCCTTTGTCATGAGACCAGATGAACTGAGTGGTGCCCAGTTACCATTACTGAACGTTTTGAGCCAAAATTCCATAAAAGAATCCTGATCAAAAGGGGCAAAATGCAGAACAGAATTTCAAATTCTCATAAAATCCAGACTTTCTAGAACCAGAGAAGGTAGATGAACCCCTGAAACTTTGCCCTGTGATAATCTTTTAACCTTAGACCAAAATAATCCCTGAAATTATCTTAAAAGTGAAAGAAGTTTAGCTTAGCTATTATAAAAGGTCTGCCTTGAAGAATGATCTTTATGGGATTAAACTGGCAACAGCAACTGGAGAGATTAGATGGCACCTTGGGTGGCAGTGAGTGTATGTTAATGAGGGAGGAACCTTCCAGAAACGGAGGGTGAGAATGACCACACTTTGAAGAGTGTAATCAGTGCCACTACTCTGTGTGTGTGGAAAATGCTGAACTGGGGTTTATTTGCTGTGCATATTCTCAACCAAACAGAAACAAAATAAAAAAACAATTTAGAAGAAGAAAAAAAAGCTGGGGAAGGAAAAGCCAGAGAGAAGAGGTCAAAATTCATGGCTGTTCATGCACCATTTATATGATAAATAACAATAGCTTCTTAATTGCCTTGAATTTATTGGCATTGGTTGTATTATCAACAATTCTGGAAAATGAGGGTATTTTAATCTCAATTTATAGATGAGGAAACTGAGGCTTCAAGAAGTGAATAGGCTTAATGTCACACAATTATGAAATTTAGGAATACAGCCCAAAAATAGATTTATACCTTGAAGGGATCTCTGTGTAGGGTTGGGTGGAAGACAACCAAAGTTACCATGATGTTAAGTACCGTGGAGTCAGTTCTGACTCATAGAGTCCCCATACAGAGTTTCCGAGGAGCAGCTACTGGGTTTGAACCACCGATTCTGTGGTTGGCAATCCAGTGCTGATCCTACAGCGCCACACGAGAAGTCAAGCTACCATTGTTGTTGTTGTTAAGTGCCATCGAGTCGGGTCCGACCCATAGCGACCCTGTACAGGGTTTCCGAGGGTGTAAATCTTTACGGGAGTAGAAAGCCTCATCTTTCTCCCGCGGAGCAGCTGGTAGTTTCAAACCGCTGACCTTAAGGTTCGCAGCCCGATTCGTAACCACTACGCCAAGCTACCATTAGTGTATAATAAAGAAGACAAGTGAAAAGTCTTAAAGGTAACCTGAAGAGTGTTCAATTAACTATGTTCCAACTTTGGGAAATGAGTTCATGACATTTTATCTCAGTCATCCAACTCCTGTTTCAATGTTTCATTAAATTGAAATAAATGCTAAAATCAGCTGTTTGAAACTACCAGTGGTTCCATGGCAGAAATATGAGGCTTTCTGATCCCATTAAGATTTACAGCCTTGGAAACCCCATACAAGGTTGCTATGAGTCTGAACGACTCCACAGCACAAAGCTACCACCACCACCAACCATGAGTCCTTTCCAATGCAAAACAAAATGGACTTTAATTGGGGGTAAAGAAAAAAAGACCCATCAGCATTTTCACAATGTAGAAGAGAAAACTAGTCGGGAGGGGCCTTTTCTCCAATAGACTCTATCCTACAAGCATGGTGGGACATGAAGTTCCAAAATGATACATTTATACCTTTCTATAATATTTAACATAATTTTTTCCCTGATTACAGACTATGTGAATATATTATTAGGAAAGCTCAATGAAACTGACACTAGAAAATAAAGAATCATGTAACGTTGAAGATGCACCCTCAGAGAAGCTGTGACTATGCTGGTCCATTTCACTGCTGCCCGTTTCAGTTGCATGCATTTTCCGTATCTACAGAATTCTCTAGAGCTGTGCTTCTTGAGCTTATAAGTAAGGATAAGAATTATGCCATGAGTTTGTTAACACAGTGTCCTGGCCTGACTCTCGAGATGATGATTCTGAGACGGGAACTACTAATTCGTTTCTAACACATGCCCAGCCCCTAAACCTCCAAACCACGGAATCAAATCCCATGAGGTGTTTGATTGTATACCAGCAGCCTTAGCAGCTACTGTTGTGGTTGTTGTTACTGTAAGTACATCTATCATACAACGTTTTCCAATTCAGCTTTTGACAGGTGTACAACTTGCTGACAATAACTACTCTGAGTAACAAGGATCTATGGATAATTTTCAGAGGGTCTGCAGCCTGTAGATATTGTTTACAAGCATGTGCTTTGATGTGTACATATATGCATGTCTGTTTGAGGAGAGAGTCCGTAGCTTTTACCAAACTCTCATGGCTGAACATGAAGGCCGCAAAGTTAGTTAAGATCCCTATTTCATAGTGACCTTGTGATCTGCCTAAATAAAGTCTCAGTCTCTAAAGAATGTCCTTCAAGCCCTAAACCATGGTAAGGACAACCTTCTGCTTCCCAAAGGATGGAGCTCTCTCTGAGGGTTGCTCTGACCTTTAGTCTAAAGTTTTGTTGAGCTTTCTGAGCCACATCCTGTATGTTGATGAGTAATCCAAAAGGGAAATGAGACAACAGAGCGAAACCCCACACATTACAGGAATCACTTACCTGAAGCAGATACTCAAGCTTATAAGAAAACTTATGCAAGCTGGTGCTGTCATCTGTGATGGGCTCCCCTGCTTCCTGAAATTCATTGCTTAGTTCTGTCACGGCATCTTTAAGACAACAAACATGAACATGTAACCAACCGAGACTGACCTGAGGCAGAAGCAGGAATAATCCCAGCAGGCCGGAGAAGAAAGTGGTCACACACAGCAAAGCATTTCAGAAAATTAAAGTTATATATAAATGTCCCTGGGATACAACTAAGTTAGAGACGATTAAAATGTCCTGAGGAAATGGGAAACCCGGGGAGTAAGTGGAATGAGCGATGTCACAATGTGGGAATTACAATCAGTGACATGAAACAAAATGTGTATAAATTGTAAAATGGAAAATGGATCTGCTCTCTAAACTTTCACACACTTCACAATTAAAAGTTTAAAAAAAAAAAAAAAAAAGATAAAGAAAATGTCCTGAGAATCCATAGACATATTACAAGAGCTCACTGACTAGACAAATGCATTGATCATTCCTGTATACTCCCCACGACATGCAGTACTTGATCAATAAACATCTCCTGTGTGGAGGAATCATTCAGCAAACCCCTAACACTGACTTCCAGAAAGCTTTATGCTTTATTCTGGTCGTGTCTCTTGCTATTCTTCACTATAGTCCTACTGGTCAGTAGAGGTGAGTCCAGGCTTCAAGAAAGCCTAGAATGTGCAAACAACTGCAACAATGATGACAACATTCTCTGTGCACCACACAAGGGGCCCTCAGTTAAGGCAGCACCATTCATGTAGCAGATGTTGTACACTGATACCCTTTACAGTAAAACACTAACCAGATGAAAATGTAGGGTCCGCGAAAAGGGTCCCTTTTTAAATTCCTCCAAAGTGCTCTGTGGGCTGCGTATCAGACACTGAGACTGCCCCAGGATGTCAGGATGACCAGAGCCATCCAGTACCCAGAATCGAGAACAATGGGCAACTAAATAAATGCAAACGTCTTTCCTTGTTTTCCCCAGAGCACTGTTCAACCCTTCCAGCTCATCTACGTTCTTGGTTAGGAGCTCTCCTCCCAATCCAGATTGGGTGAGAACTTCCCAAAATACCCTTAGGAATCGGGGACAGAAACACAGACCCAGTAGTTTACTTTGCTACTGGCCTTCTAGGGGACAGTGGCAAGCAAGTTTCTCTACCTTTCTGTGTCGATTAAAAAGAAAGGTCTCTCACATTTGGGCTGGATGTAGACTTGTGTGGGTAAGCGCACAGAGGTGGCTTCAGGCTCTGCTACTGACAAGGTGAGAGGTCTGAGGCAAATGACAACTTCTCTATGGCTGCTTCCTCATCAGCAAAGTCGGGACAACAGTGCCACCTTCCTCAGGGGACCAAATGTGAGGACTCAATGAGTTACTACCCATAAGACAGTGTAGAACAGTGCTGTGCACACAGTGCTATCGGCCATTAGAGTCACAAAGCACTGCAGAGAGACGATGACATGCCTTAGAGTGTGAATTTTATCTCATTGACATCTGACCTTCAGAACAAGGGCTGAATTCTGGCCCCATGTGGGGCCCTTAGAAGGAGAGATGGTCTTTGGTCATCACTGTTCCTGACCAGTTAGGAACCTGGGCCTTCAGATGGTCAGCAAAGCATCACATGAACTCTGCAGGCATGGAAGAAGCGGCCAGCTTCAGAGAGTGCTGTAGTGAAAGTGCTGGAGCTACAAAGAGGCTCCCAAGAGCTCTGGTGATGTGTGGGTAATATAAACCCTGACAAAATTCTGAAAGGAAGAAACCCAAACCCTACAATTTGAAGAAAGTAGCGGGTTTCTCCTGAGACTATTAAGCTTCATCTGCACCTGCATCTGCTCCAGCCTTCCTTTCTCCAATAAGACATGGACTACAAGTCAGAAAATCTCTCACTGGGGAGTGCTGGGTGTGGGGAGGTCTGGGAGGTGACAGGCCTAGAATAGGAGTGTGTCACAGGCAAGAGGTCATCTGCCAGCCAGCACCAGGTGGGACAAAAAAACAACTCTGGCCTTCCTGCTCCGAGGAGGGAGAACAGGCCTCCTCAAGTAAGCTAAGTCACCAAAGCCTAGAGGCTCATTATTCAACCACAAACTTGACAGATAATAAACACATACATACACATACACAAACTAAAATCAGACCCTTCCTGGGAGAGGGCTAGTTGGTTTTGTTTACAAACTGGTTTACAGTGCTTTGAGAGGAGAGTCAGGAGCTCTCCCAGCCTCACACAGGATAGAAATCTGAGTCTCAAATATTTCAATGTGATGTGCACTGTAGGCTCCTGTTACTCCCAGCATGAACAAAGGTGAAAGGGCTGAATTTCAGCAGGCAGTGGAAAAGCACAGCCACAGTGCCCGGTGTGCCCGGCAACCTGCACTAACTGTACCTTGCAAATCGTGGATAATTCTCTGGAGCTGGCTCTCCGCACTGGTGGATGCCATGGTGAACGGTTACAGTCTCTTGACTGGATGCCCCCTGCCTGGATGCAGAGAAAGGCTCAGAACTTCATCCCTCTGTGCATATCCATTGGGCAGAGGTCAGACTCCAGCGTGGCACCTATACGGGGGAGAGGAAGCCACAGATGTGAGTTAAGGCAGGATCAGAGGCACTCCGCTCTGGGCATCTTCTCCTGATAGGAAGGCCTTACTCTTTCTCAGCGGGCCTTCTCTGCTTTGTTCTAACACACTTAAAACTTTGTTTGGGGCTTAAAAAGAAACAAGATTAACTAAATAACAAGGCCTGCTCTTCCTGGACCCCCTCATTCTGCCCTCATACACAGGACTACCTCACTTCCCATTTTTTAAAAAGAGCTGCCCGTGCCCCCTGATACCAAAGGCTAGAACTAGTTCAACCCCAATGCAGGCGGAACCCCTGATTCAAGCCACTAACCCTAAGGCACCAGTTTTGCTGTTGTTGTTGTTGAGTGCCATTGAGTCTGTTCTGACTCATAGTACCAGCTCCCACTTAGTAATCCCTAACTGCCACACACCAGCCCCACCTCCTCTTCAGCCTTGCTCTCTCCAAAGAGCGGTCAGTCATGTCACACTGGGTAGCGCTGGGGACATGAGGCTGAGGGCACATACCCTTCACCAAGGAGAGCTGGGCTTGCCTGGCAGGAGAGCGGCTCCCTGTCGGAGGGTCTGCTAGCCTCCAGCTGCCCAGAGTCTGGGTGGTCAGACTCCGCCTGGCCCACCACCCAGGGCCCTGCGCAGCCTCCACTACCACTAGCCAAGGGACGCGTCTCTATTTTAAGCTCAGTTCCTGTCCTCTCGCGGCTGTTGAGTCCCGAGTAACCAGCCCTTCTTGGGCAGCTGCTGAAGTGATTTAAGGACACAGTAGTGGCTGGAGCCCAACAAAGGTGAGATGTGAGCAGCACTGGAACGAGGTCTGGATGTACTTTGGTACACTCCTGGGTCCTTCTTTTAGAACCTCAAATCCTTCCCTCTATGCCTCACACAATGCCACGTCTGCTGGCAATACGACCAGAGACAGCCTTCATAGGAGCCCCTATGAAACGAAGGCCTACTATGTACTTCCCTACTCCACACTTGGTGAATTTTCATTCTAGTTGGGGGTGGGGGTGAGGACAGTGCCATCCCTATTTATGAGGGAGGAAATGTCAAGGGACTGGCCTAAGGTTACCAGTCAGGAAAGGGTAGAATGATGGCTTAAAGACTGGTCAGCCTGCTTCCCAATCCTGTGGTTTGTCCAGTATGCCCTGCTAGCTCTTTATGTCTGACCCATTGTTAGTACAGCCAATGACCAACCAAATCCACCCACTTCTAGGAACCACCCCAAACTTCAGCCTCTCCCAAATAATGGGCCACCACCCTGAGTTGTTTCTAATGCGCCATCTTCCTTGGCTACTCCAGGAGATCCCGGGAATGGAACCCATCCCCACCCTCGGCTTCCTCCAGATATTTACATAAACATTCCAGCATTGTCCTGAGGAGACAGGCGGTCAGGTCACATGGCGATTAGACCTAAGACCTATTTTTAACTAACAAGCCACTGTAGCTCTGACTCAGCGAAAACAAGGCCCACAGAGGGGCTCTCCAGCTGATACCTTGCCCATCACCCAGGGCCCTGCGCAGCCTCCACTATCACTAGGCAAGGGACTAGGAAGTCATGGCCACGAGCAGAGATTCAGAGGATCCACAGAGCACCCCAGGGATTCCCCAAGTGCTGGCACCCTGTCCATCGTGGACTGGCCCTAGAAGGAGCCAGCGCCCCAGGCTCAGCCTGACATCTGCAGGGAAGGCTTCTGTCGCCTGGACACACCATTCACTGTGGCCATTCACAGGTGCCCTAGCTCCCAGTAGGATCAGTACTGAACTTCGAACCACAAGGTCGGCAGTTCAAACCCACCAGTTGCCCCTCGGAAACCCTATACAGGGTCGCTATGAGTAGGAACGGACTCAACAGCACTTAACAAAAACCTTTTGGGTGGGTCAGAGACACAGAGAGACACCCAAGGCATAGCCCAGTCCTGGAGGCACTCAGCTGTCTGTCAAGAAGACAGACAGAAAAATCAATATCCAGATAGCATGGAAGCGGCCACGCAGAGGCACTCAGCAATGAAAATGAACGATCCTCCAATGCATGCAGCAACATATTTGAATCGTGACTGCATTATGCTGGGTGACAGCAGCGAGTCTTAGAAGGCTACGCACATTACAATTCCATTTCTATGATATTCTTGCAAAGGCAAAGCACTGTTAGGAGAGAAGTCAGATCAGCAGCTGCCAGGGCTAAGAGAGTGTGACTGTAAGGGGCCATGGGGTGCAAGGGGGGGTGGTTTGGGGCGATGGAAGACGTATTCTGTACCTCGAGAGTGATGGTGGTGGTGCTTAGTTGCTATGGAGTCGGTTCCCACTCAGGAAGACTCCATGTGTGTCAGAGAAGAACGATTCTACTGGGTTCTCCGGAGCATGACCTTTCAGAAGCAGATCACCAGGCCATTGTTCTGAGGCACCTCTCAGTGGGTTAGAACTGCTAACCTTTCAGTGAGCAGTCAAGTGCTTAACCATCTGGGCCACCTATCATTACATAATTATATATACTGTTTTGAAGTCACATGTTGTTTGGTGCCATCGAGTCGATACTGACTCATAGAGACCCTATTCACAACAGAACGAAACACTGCCCCGTCCTGCACCCATCTCACAATCGTTACTACATTTAAGCCTACAGCTAGACAAAAAAAAATATGAATTTTACTGTATATAAATTATACTTCCCCAAAAGACAGCACTGTGATGAATTTTAAAAATGCAATGGAATTAAGAGAAAGGAAAAGTCTGGTCTGTCTGGGGAAGGGAAATGTTGGTAGACACATTGCAATGGCAACTGCAAAGGGGCCAGGCCTGAAAATGAACAGGAGGTTGTCGAAGAGACCCGAGAAGGAAATGACAGCCTGGGTGGCAGGTAGAGCAGGAGCAAGGGCTGTCCCTCTGCCAGCATCCCTCTCACCTGGCTCTATCAGCACAGAGGGCCTGGAAGCCTCCGGGAGAAATCATCTCAAAGGGCAATGACTGGCCCATTGGGTCTCAGTGTACTTACAACTAGGGGATGGAACTCACAGATGGGTAGAGTTCGGCACGGAAGCAATAGTACCAAGAGTCTATGTACCTCATCCAGGTCCACTGGGACAATGCACAAACATACAAGCAGCGGGCTGAATGTCTTGGAACTCAGGTCTGATTTGGAGTCCGGCACGTGGGAAGCAATGCCTACAAACCAAACCCGGATCTTGGCGTGATGAATCTGTACACAGAAATCTGTTCTTTGAGACTGTTGGTGAACATCTGGAGTACAGGCAACTTTCCTGGTCTGACCCTCAGCTGGTGCCAAGTTCCCTGGTTACAGGGTGAGCTGTGCTTGGCACAATTCCTATAAAAGTTGATGTTCCAAAGGGTCTGTAGCACCACCCAGAAAATAAGCCCCACAAAACTGACTGTAGGGTCAGGATATTGTCACAGTGGACTTCCCCAGCGTGGCTCTCGGCTGCCTCCTCCCAGGTCACAGGAAGTAGTTCACAGTTTCCTTGGGACATCACAACTACCCCATTACCAAGTGCCATTGGGTAGACTCCAAGTTACAGAAATCTTGTGTGAATCAGAGTAGAACTGTGCTCCACAGGGCTTTCAATGGCTGATTTTCAGAAGTAGAGAGCCAGGCCTTTCTTCTGAAGCACCTCTGGGGTTGGGGAAGGGAAGACTTAAATTATTTCCAATCTTTCAATAAACAGAGACGCATATTAATGAAGCCACTCAGGGACTCCACTGTTGTTCTGTGCCCTGGAGCCAATTCCATAGGAATACTATTTTCATGGGCTTGGTAGCAATGCCAACTCTTAGTACCTCGCCCCTCCCTCCTCTCCTCTGCCTCAGTCTGACATCATTATTCATGTACAGACAGCACAAATGGGGGACTGTTACACTGGCTCTCTCTCTACCCCAACTCTACTCCCTCATGCCTCTAGATCTGCTGGCCCCGCGACCCTGAGTCCCGACAATTACAACCCATTGGTGAATGGCTCCTGTACCATCTGAGCCACTCTGAGAGCTTTCCTCCACACAGCCAGAGCAGCTTCAGCACGGGCCAGACAGCACCGGCCAGAAGCCACGCCTTCACACCTCCTCAGCTCCCACAGTGCAAATGACCTCTGTGACTCTCGCTTCCTTGTACAGCATGCAAAAGCCTCCTTACTGTCTGAGCAGGATCTAGCAAATGCTAGAAAAGTCCGTTTTATAGAAGTTTTCTGAACATTGGCTTTTCTTGCCAACAATTCAAAACTGTATATAATTTTGGATGTTTTAAGTCTGAAAACACCCAATCTTCTGACAGAGATGAAAAGGGAGTAAATGCATCGAAGCATATTCCTATTTATTACCTAGAATAAGTGCCTGAGGTCCTAGCCACAGCCGAGGCACTACTTTAGAGGTAAAGAATTTTCCTTGCCCTCCAAATTCCTCTTGTACCTGCCCAGATTGCTGAAAAGCCTTAAACAACAGATAGAGCCATTTAATCCCAAATTAAAATCAAGGCCTCCCAAAAGACTAATGCACACTTATTTACACTGTAAGACAACATGTTTCCCAGACACTGGCTCTGGGCAGAAGCAATACTGAGAGAAGGATCAGAAAGTCGAGGAAGGGGTGTGGAAGACCAGACTGCCCTGTCTTCAAAATTTTGCATACTTGCTCCCAGTACTTTTAGCCAAGATGGGACCCAGAGATATCAGCATACAGGGACTCCTCCCTTTTGCCTAAACAAGGTGGAGCACACTAGTTACAAACCCCACCCCACCTAAGAAAGCCTGCTAAGGGTGGTTTAGATCAGCCCAAAGCATTGGGAGCCTTTCTGAAATAGCCCATCTCTTTGGCCTGGCTCAGCACACCCAATACCATCCCCTGGGTTACCATCTAAGGAAAGGGAG